CCCTCCATTTGTGTCATGTTTCTTTGTCTCCACATTTTTTATGCTTCCCTGTGTTGATAGAGTGGCTTTCTGTGTTAGGTGTCCTATAGGGCCCAGTGGCTCAGCCTCCCCAATTATCTGAGGTGGGCACTCTTGGAACACCCCCTTGTGGTCTTTGTGCACAGTCTTCTTGTAGTTAAGTTTTGACTGTTGTAGGTATCACTGGGAGGAATTGACCTCCAGGCCAATTGGCTGTGAGAATCGGCTGTGTCTGCAATGGGAGAACTTCTAAGCTAGAGACACCCTTATGGGGCAAGACTTGCTTCAGTGGGGCTTTGGTGCTCACTGAGTCTGCCCCCTGAGTGTGTCACTTATGGATCTGAGCAGTTGTAATCTGGATGGTTCCACTCTGAACACTGGGTACACTGGCTCTTGGATCTCTAAGTAGGTGCTAATTTAGCCTCTGCCTGAGGCTACACAGCAGGAGCTATGCAGAGTTCCTCTTCTTTGTTTGGGGTTTTGAGGTGCCCAGATGAGGCCCAGCTGTGAAGCAATGCAAGCTGCTGTGGGGCCTTAGAACTTCTCTCTAATCCAGCTGAAATTTGTTAGGTAATTTTCAGATTACAAAGGGCTAGGCCTTTCATATGCAAAAGCCTCTATGCACAGCTTGGGTGGGGTGGGGTCTCAGGGGATCAACAGGGCGGAGCAAGCCGCTATGGCTGCTCCTCAGTCCTACCCTAAGAGCCCTGGCGTCTCAGTATCCTGGTAATTGCTGCAAGCACCTCTGAGAGAAAGCCTCCCTGGAGTTCTGCCCGATACCAGTCTAGTTTCTCCCCATATGAGTCTGGGTTCCCAGAGACTCATTCAGAGCTGGAGTTCAGAGCACTCGGGAGCTTCAGACATCCTCCCGATTGAAAAAGACAACTGTGTCCTCAGTTTCCAGCACTCTCCACATGCACCGTGTCCCCAGCTGCCAGCCCTCTCCACGTGTGCCACACGTCCTCACTTGCCAGCACTTTCGGCATGCGCCTCTGAACCTCTGCTCTTTATTTCTGCACCTCCTCTGAGTCTCAGTGTGCTTTTCTCTTTCCTTCTAGTTGTAGAATTTCCACTCAGTCAGCCTTCCTGTGGTTCTGGATGATGTCTGTTTTGTCTTTTAGTTGTAGTTTCGAAGTAGTTGTGTGAGGCAACAATTTCCGATGTTTACCTATGCTGCCATCTTGGTTTCTCCTCCCCAGTGTTTTCTTACAATTGCCCATTCCTCACCCAGTTGTGCTTGTGTGTTCTTATTGTTTATACTTTGCCAAGTACTCAGTTGTTATTTATTTATGTATTTATTTATTTTAATTAAATCATTATTGTTCAGATTATTACAGTTGTTCCTCTTTTTTCCCCCCATACCTCCCCTCCACCCGGTTCCCCTCCCACCCTCCGCCCTCACAACCCCACCACTGTCCTCATTCGTAGGTGCACGATTTCTGTCCAGTCTCTTCCCCCATCCCCCACAGCCCTTTCCCCCCCAAGAGTAGTAAGTCCACTCCCTTTCTGTGCCCCTGATTCTATTATAGTCATCAGTTTATTCTGATCATCAGATTATTTATTCACTTGATTTTAAGATTCACTTGTTGATGGATGTGTATTTTTTGTTCACAATTTGTATCTTTACTGTTTTCTTCTTCTTTCTCTTCTTAAAGGATACCTTTCAGCATTTCATATAATACTGGTTTGGTGGTGATAAACTCCTTTAGCTTTTTCTTCTCTGTGAAGCTCTTTATCTGACCTTCAATTCTGAATGATAGCTTTGCTGGGTAAAGTAATCTAGGTTGTAGGTTCTAGCTATTCATCACTTTGAATATAACTTGCCACTCCCTTCTGGCCTGCAGAGTTTCTGTTGAGAAATCAGCTGACAGTCGTATCGGTATTTCCTTGTAGCTAACTCATTGTTTTTCTCTTGCTGCTTTTAAGAGTCTCTCTTTGTCTTTTGCTCTTGGCATTTTTTTTTTAATGTATTTTATTGATTTTTTACAGAGAGGAAGGGAGAGAGATAGAGAGTCAGAAACATCGATGAAAGAGAAACATCGATCAGCCACCTCCTGCACATCCCCCACCGGGGATGTGCCCGCAACCCAGGTACATGCCCTTGACCGGAATCGAACCTGGGACCTTTTATTCCGCAGGCCGACGCTCTGTCCACTGAGCCAAACCGGTTTCGGCTGCTCTTGGCATTTTAATGATGATGTGTCTTGGTGAGGTCCTATTTGGATTCTTTTTGTTTGGGGTTCTCTGCACTTCCTGGGTTTGTAAGTTTTTTCCTTTGACCGGGTAGGGGAAGTTTTCTATTAGTATTTCTTCAAATAGGTTTTCAATGTCTTGCTCTCTTCTTCTGGCACCCCCATAATTCAGACGTTGGTACACTTGAAGTTGTCCCAGAGGCTCCTTAAACTATCTTCATATTTTTGCATTCTTTTTTCTTTTTGTTTTTCTGGTTGGATGATTTTTGCTTCTTCGTATTTAAAATCTTTGACTTTATTCTTGCGATCCTCTAGTCTACTGTTGGAAGTCTTCATAATATCCTTTATTTCCGTCAGTGTATGCTTAATTTTTAGTTTGTCCTTTTTCATAACCTCAAGGGTCTCACTGGATTTCTTGAAAGTCTTACTAAATTTATCCGCGGTTTCTAGAAAATTCTTGAAAAACCTAAAAAGTGTGGTATTGAACTCTATATACAATACTTTGCTTTCCTCTGTTTCTTTCATATTTTACCCTCAGCAGGAGTTACAGAGAGATCTGCAGATTCCTCTTCTTTGTTTCGGGTTTAGAGGTGCCCAGATGAGGCTCAGCTGTGAAGCAATGCAAGGTACTGTGGGGCTTGGGCCTTCTTTTGGAAGTTCTGGGTCTCTCTGACCCAGCTGCAGTTTGTTAGGTAATTTTCAGATTGCAAAGGGCCAGGCCTTTGATATGCGAAAGCCTCTATGCACAGCTTGGGTGTGGCAGGGTCTCATTGATCAACGGGACGGAGCAAGCAGCTATGGCTGCTCCTCAGTCCTACCCTAAGCGGCCCAGCGTCTCAGTGTCCCGGTAATCTCTGCAATTACCACTGAGAGAAAGCCACCCTTGAGTTCCAAACGATGCCAGACAGTCCAGTTTCTCCCCAAATGAGTCTAAGTCCCCTGAGACTCGCCTGGACCTGGAGTTCAGAGAAGTAGGGAGCTTGAGACTCCCTCCCGATTGAAAAAGACAACCGTGACCTCATTTGCCAGCCCTTTTCACTTGGACCATGTACTCAGTTGACAGCCTTTTTCGCGTGCATCTGCATAACACTGCACTCTACTTCCGCACCTCCTCTGAGTCTCAGTATGCTTTTCTCTTTCCTTCTAGTTGTAGAATTTCCACTCAGCCAGCCTTCCTGTGTTTCTGGATTATTTCTGTTTTGTCTTTTAGTTGTATTGTTGAAGTGGTTGTGCCTGGCAGCAATTTCTGGTGTTTACCTATTCCGGCATCTTGGTTCTATCAGCACTCAGTTTTCATAGTGATCATTTCTACTGGGATTCCCAGCCCATGGATAACCTTCACCTCTCTTGACTTTGCACCTGTGCCTCTTTCACAGGTCTCTGTTTTCTGCACTCTAACATTGGTCCATGTCTGCAGTACCTTGGAGTGCACACATGTTATTATAGTGATGTTGAACATCATGTGGTCTAATACAATACATTTTTATGGCTTTGATCCATCTTAAATGATTCTACATAGACTCACATGGCCTACATGTAAGGTCCTAATGGAAGCCGTTTGTGCAGGAAAAATGAATAGAGCCTTCCTCTCTTCTTTGTGTCCCATCCTGTGCTTCTGCCCCTCTCTTGGTATGCTTTTTATCATAACTGAGTTTTGGGGCCACGATATGCATAACAACAGTTTCCTCAGAGTATACCTCACTGGTCCTTAAAATCTTTCTATGGAATCAGGCCTAGTCATGACAGGTAAACATTTGTGGTGCAGATATTCTGATTTCATAGGGTGAACATGTACTTTACCAGTGTTTCCTTTTGTTCAGGTTGCTGCTGTGGAGCAGAGAATGAGGAGGCAGCGACTGAACAGAACTTTTTTGTGAGAGTTCCACAGGCATGGAATCCCCAGTTACCTTTGTCTTCCCAGAAGAGCCACCCCTGTGAGAATTGTGGGCTAGTCTTGGGAAACATTTTCCACATGATGGAGGGGCAGGGAACACAACACGGACAGATAATGTTGAGGTGTGGGGCATGTGCAAAACGGTTTTACTTCAGTGTAAATATTCACCAATGGCATGTGAGAGAGAAGACTTTCATTAGAGGTGTGAACAGGATCTCACTTGCAAACAGCTGCAATTTCAATGGGTCCCAAAATGGTTTCACATGTGGGGAGGTTGGGCAGGGAGTTCT